CAGCAAACTACTAGGGAGATTTTTCTCTTTACCCAAGAGTGGTACCTTGGCATTAGTCCCACAGAGAATTGGCTGTGACAGCCTTCTGCAAGCTGAATGAATAATTATTACCCTATGAGTGAGCTAAAGAAATAGTTTGAAGATGTTAAAAGCCTTCTGACATTTGGACCATTTGCACTACAAAAACAATGACACAAAAGCTTCATTAAAATCCAGTGCATATCTACCGACCCATGTCACCACTGCATATACAACTGAAAAATGAAAGGCAGCCTATTAAAGCAGTTCCTCTCTTTGAAGCATATCTGTGCCTGTTGTGGGTCTCCACACCTGTGCTTTTGTCTATCTGACTCCCAATATTCACACTTTGAACCTGGTATTTGCAGGAGGTGCTCCTCAGGATAACTTCACCAATGCTGTGACATTGTAGGGCAAAACTGTTGACTCTGGTCTTGCCCTTTCAAGCTGAGTCACTTCTGGTCTCAGCTACAAGATCCTGACCTCAAGTAATAGACAAGAACTTACCCTCCGGCACAGGGTAGCTCCTCATAAAATAATCCCAAGAGTTCTCTTTAAAATCCTTCAAACACCTCGCCTCTCAAATGTATGTCTCAAAAAACTTGGCAACTGATGCCTTGGGGTCATGGTTATTATCCATCTTGCTGATGAGCACTCTTTTCCCATGTCTTACACTGTGTTACCTGTCTGCACTGATTCAAGTTTCAATGGCTCTTCCATCTTAAATATGAATGGAACTGTTGCTCAGCTCTCATGTAATTAAGTGTTTTCATTATTTTCACTCCACAAGCACAGAAGAGTTCTGTCTGTATGGGCAAAGGCTTGGCTCTCGTAGATGCTTGATATAGGTAATGTTAGCCAAAAAAATAATTAAATTCCTTGAGAGTTCTAAGTCATGAGTACAATGGCTGTTCTGCTTTGACTAAGCTCAGGTGGGTGGAAATCTTCAAAAACAATACAGTAGCTAAACATCTTCCTAATGATCTCCATGGAGGTCTCATCAGTGACACAACATGATGCCAAGGCTGAACCCTTCTGGAAACAAAAACTTCTTAGGACTTGCATGTGCTGGCAGAATTAGCATTTGCATTTTTATTTCTTTCAAGTCTTTTGCTGGGAGCAGTTTATTAGTGCTGTGGATTCATGTTTTGTCAGTACCTGGCATTCAAGTACAGCTGATCTTGCCTTGGAGTGCAAGTTGGATTATTTCTCAAGATTGATTTTTCATGGGCCCGTGACATCTGTGTAGCAATTAAAGAAATAAATCAATCAGATGCTGACTACACATCTACTTGCTTAAATGTCTTTGAAGTGCTGCAGCTTAATCAGAGCAAAACCACAACCTGAGGTAGGGGCTTGTGTGCTTTTGTTCATCTGGGGTACACAGCACCAAGCTGATACTTCCTCACGCCCAGAAGTTGCTTTACTCTTATTGTACTAGTGTGAATTTGTATGGTAAGAAATGCTCAAACACACAGCTAATAAATTATAGCCTGTTACATCCCTGTGGACCAGTTCAGACCCAGTAACTGTGCCTGGGAACAATTATTTCTGTCAAATTCAAGACAACAGCACTTTGTTTTGAACTGCTTGTACTGACAACCTGCTATTTCCATCAAGCAGAGAGCACTTAGATGGTTACTACAGCCCAGCTAATTTAGGGGAATCTTGAATTTGATCACATAGAGGAATTGAATTTGATCCTATGGAGGAGATGGGCATATAGACCAGTGGAACAGAGTCCTCAGTTCAAAACATTTCTAGCAGGATTATTTGGATTTTGGCTCACCTGTCTTGAAAGGAAGATGGTGGAGTGGGTCAGGTGGTGCTGTTCCAGGAGCAATGATTCCCTGCCTCATGGCATGGCCAGCTAGATTGCTGATGAACCCCAGCTGCAATATCTTCCAGCTGCCTGTTCAAGGGCGGACCGAAACCAACGCCAGTTCAGTCAGCCTTGCAGTGGGAGGAGATGGGCAGCTGGCCGTGGTTCCAGCAAATGTGATACTTATTCCTTTAATTATCATCTGGATTGTCATGCAACCCACCGCACTGCACCTGATTTCAAGAGCAAAATGCAACCCACCGTGTTGCACCTGATTTCAGGCAAATTTCAGACAGTGAGAGTCCTTGAATGCACACAGATTTGTCCACGCAGTTCAAGGAAGAAAGTTCCCAGAAATGGAGAGAGCCAGCTGCTGTCTGCAGTTACCTGATGGAAAGATATAGGGAAGATGAAATCAGACTTCTCTTGGAGATGGGTGGCACCAGGCCAACAGTCAATGGACACTAGTGAAAACATGGGAAAGTCCATTTAGATAGCAGAAAAAACATTTTTTACCTTGAAATTGAACAAATGCCAACCAGCTATCCCCAGTTAAATGTAAAACAATTTAAATGTTAACCTTTGTTTTGTTCAACAGTGTAATGCATGGAAAGGCAAAATTTATTATTATTTAATTGTGTTTAAATAAAGACATTACACTCATTAGAGAACAGTGGCAATTCCAAGTGGACTTGTCACAACAGGAGTACTAACATGATTTACAAAGGACTGTGCAGTATCATCAGCAGTAGTAATACTACTGAAGTATTTCCATTTGGAGAAGCATTTTTAAGGGAGGGAAAAAAGAAAAAAAAAAAGAAGGAAAATAGAAGCTTATTTTACTTACATTTCATGATTCCAGAAATGCTTTTTGGATAGAATCTTTCCCATCTAGTAGGTGTGAGGGCTTGAGGTTTTAAACTACTGTGTGTGTCTTAGTGTCCAGAATGAATCCATAGAGAAAAAAAACCCAACCATTAAGCTTCTTTGGTGTGAAGAGGTATATTGGTATATACCAATGCTTGTTATTATGACAATTTTTAATGTATTTTTAAACTGCTTTAGTTCTTTGTTTTTAGTTATGAAATCACACTAGAAATAGCCTTATATATGTAAGCTCCTGCTGTTTGAAATTGAATTCATTTAGTAAAGTTTCTCTGACTGTCATCTATTTTGCAGACTGAGACCGGGCAGAAGCAATTTATTTCTGTAGATGAGAGTTTATTTCTGTAGGAAAGATTGCAACATGGCAGGGAATCAGTCCTCCCTCTGTTGATGTGAACTCTGAATTAAAACATAGTAGTACCAGCAGGTACAAACTGCTTGTGAAGGGACATGGTGGCACAGAGCAGCATCTACACAGAAGGAAAACATGCAACGTGACTTGAATATGTATTCCTGATCACGTGCAGGTGATCAGCCTTGGCTTCTTGGCTTGGTTCAGCTCATCAGCTCATCCTTTTTTTTTTTTTTTTTTTTTTTTTTTTTTTTTTTTTTTTTTTTTTTTTTCCCCTTTTTTGTTTTACAAGACCTGATTTCAGACTAGGCCTGCACAAGAAACTTCCTGCCATAGCTGTACCATTGAGAACATGAAACAGGCTAGTAGACCAGATGAAGACTTTGCCATATCTGCTAAATACTAGCAAAATGGTCTGTCAAAGAAGAAAACAGTTTGACAGAGGCACTGACACGGCCAAAATCTGTACCTCTGCAAAACTTTATCCCCTCCACTTGCTCAGCTGATGAGTGATGGTAAATGGGATTTGACTTGTAGAATCATAGAATGGTTTGAGTTGGAAGGAACCTCAAAGATCCTGTACTTTCAGTCCCCCTGCTGAGGCTTCCACTAGACCAGGTTATACTTCAGATAAGGAGTGAGTTAACTCAGAATATCCTGAGTGAGAAGGGGCCCCCAAGCATCATCGAGGCCAGCTTCTGGCCCTGCACAGCACCACCCCCAAGAGTCACACCGAGTGTCCAAGAGCACTGTCCAAATGCTTCTTGAACTCTTTCAGCAGGCTTGGTGCTGTGACCACTTGCCTGGGGAGCCTGTTCCAGTGCCCAGCCACCCTCTGGGTGAAGAACCCCTTTCTAATACCAACCTAAACCTCCCTGACACAACTTCAGGCCATTCCCTCAGGTCCTTCCTTCACCATCTTCATTGCTCCTCCTTTGGACGCTCTCTAACCACTTTATGTCTTACACTGTGATACCCAGAACTGCCCCCAGCACTGGAGGTGAGCCCGCCCCAGCACAGATCAGAGCAGGACAATCCCCTCCCTTTCCCAGCTGGTCATGCTGTGCCTGATGCCCCCTAGGACAGGCTTGGCTCTCCCGGATACCCGGGCACTGCTGGCTCATGTTCAGCTTGCCACTGACCAGGACCCCCAGGTCCCTTTCCGCAGTGCTGCTCTCCAGCCTCTCATCTCTCAAGCACAGCTGAAGCCAATTTGGCTGAATGTGCCTGAGTTGGCTGCAGCAGAGATCAGGGTGGGGAAGTGTTTTCCAGGAAGGAAATGTCTCTCTCCGCGTTTCCCCTCTGGCTGCTGGCGGAGCCGGCGGGACGCGCGGCCCCACGAGGGGGCTCTGCCCGCCCGGGCATGGACAGCGCCAGCCCTTCCAGCGCGCCGCTCCCAAATCCCTGACTGGGGCTGCCGTGGAAGCGCCTCGCACGTGGCAGGGTCTCTAAAGGAGTCCCGGTTTCAGGGTGTTAAACTGGTGTAGCTGTAGGTATGAACAGGATAATCAGAATAGTTGTTCCCTCTGCGCTGCTTCCAGAGGAAGCAGCAAAGTACCGGGGGCATGCATGATAGCTACCACATGATCTAACTGTGTCCGGGACACGTACAAATAAATGGTAACAAGCAAATTATTTGTATGCCTTGTTCCTACTAAATTTCCCCCCAACCTGAGACACTCCTAGCTGCAGTAATTTAATAAAGCCTGGTACAGAGAAAGTTTTTGAGATCAATTAAGTAGAGAAATCCTACCATATAGGAGAAAAATATCATCTTTTTACACACAGCTGAACACAGTAAAGGGGAAGGGGCATTTAAGCAGCACACACTGGCCAAGATAGGACAGCTCAGTTTGACCACTTTGTATCTTTTAATACAACCTTCATTAAAATTCTTAAAATAACTGTGTAATGGCAATCACAGAAGTATAAAGAAAATATATATTCCCGTTCAAGAAGAGATTCGTCCCCACAACGCATGAGAAAAATCAAGTGATGAGATCATTTAAATGCCATTGTACATATTCCCTGGAACAATGCCCTGGCCAGATAGGTAACAACAGCTGTCCAAGGCACAGTGCTTGACTGCTCGCTGCTGTTAGTAGTTTACTAGGACTAAAAGAAATAGAGGTGTAAACAGCCAGAGCAACAGCGACATAGGGGGACAATGCACAGAAACAGCAGTGACATCTTCAGCTGTCAGCAGGGTCGCTCTCCTGCTCCTGGCACTGGGCTCACATGACCACCATGATGTCTTCCAGTGGCTTCCGTGTCAGCGCAGGCACGGTGGCATCTTTCTTGGGATAGCCGACGGGGAGCAGCAGCAGGAGCTTCTCATTTGCTGGCCGCTGGAGCAGCACCCGGAGCTGGGGGCCGCAGTTCAGGGGCGTGGAGGTCACTGTGTACAGACCCGCGTTCTGCAGGACAGACAGCAGCAGTGAGACAGAGGTCCGTGCTCTTTATGCGTAGCGGTTGTTCCCACCACACCTGTACACACCCTTCTGTCAACTAGTCCAGAAAAGCTGCTTTGTTAGACCTGGTACAGCCTTTGTAGCACCTGATTTACTAGCAGCCTCGGTGGCACAATAAGGGATGCCTGCTCTGCTTACAGAGAGGTGGAGCGTTTCTCCACTGCAGCAGCACGATTGGAATGTCATCCCATGGTGCTGGTGGTTGGACTAGATGGTCTTGAAACATCCATTCCAAACCAAACTATTCCATGATTCTAAGATCTGGCTCATACAGAGAACTATTTCAGTTCTTGCCTCCATACAGCTGGCAGGAAGATGCCTTACAGCCTTGTGAACGCTTGAGCTCCTCCTCAAGAGCTGTACCTCACAGGGAGAGGGGGCACAGGCTCTGCCTCAGAAGTTGTCACAGGAGTCTGTTGGCATCTCTCACGGTGGCCATTGTTATGGATTACATCAGAATCCCAAAATAAGTCTATGTATCACTCTTCCTCTCATTCAAAATCTCACAAAAACCCTAAAAAAGCTGGGCAAACAATAAAGAGCTGACATCATCCAAGGTGTGATCACACAGCTGAGTCACTTCCTGAGAGCTGCACATGTGGATTTCAGTCTCTCTGTCTATGCAATGCAAGCATTTTGGGAGGCTTTGAGATACAAGTCAGCCAGGGAGAGGTGCCCAGGAAATGCACCTGTCACGTTAAGTAACCTCCACGATCTTCTCAAGAGGAGAAGAGCTAATAGTGATGGTGCTGAATGATGCCTGAGGAGCAGCAATGCATGAAAGTGTCATTCAAAACAGAATGGAGGAGAAATGGCAGTGCCTGGTAGGAAATTGGCCTAATGTAAGAGGAGGCACCTTGCTGTTATCTTGCTGACAGGCCAGGTTAACTATCAGAATAGCTTCTCTGTTTAACACTTGTGTGAGTACGTCAGGTACAAGAAGCAGAACTGAGCACTGAGAAACCGCTGAGAAAATCTAACTGGCTGGTGTCAGACATGCTGAGCTTTAGAGATCAGTGCACTTTCAGAAATGCCTCAGAAAGACTGAATGAAATAGTACAGAGTGTTCTGCGGAATATGTCCCTGATTCTTTTTTTCAGCATTGTATAGTAAAAGTGGTTTGGCCTCAAGCTGTTTTATAGGGATTACTGGAAAGAAGGGGCCAGTGTGGCACCACACAGTCGTGCTTGGGTAGTCTGAGGAGCCTGTCAGCCCTGTTAGCATAAGGCAGAAACCACAGGGGCTGAAGCCTGTGCCGAGAAGAGAGTGACAACTCTGGAAGCTACATTATGTTTTTCTTCCTGTTAACCAGTACTGAGGATAAGAATCACCTTCTCCGATGTAGACCTGTGTAGAATAACATTAAAACTCAAAACTAAGACATATTGCCAGAAATTGGAGTAATCCAGGAGACAGAAAATGTTAAATCTAAACTGAGTTCTACCCTCTTTTGAGCAGAACAGTCTTGGTAGGTAATCCAAATTAATATATGGACTCACAGTGTGTTGGTTCTGTCAACGTACCTGCAGTGCAGCAAGCAGGATACCACAGGCAATGGAAACACTGATTTCATTGTAGTAGTGGGTCTTCTTTTTGCCATTTGGAAGCCGCCCATATACCTGCTTGAAAATGAGGATGAGATACGGAGCAGTGTCCAAGTACTCTTTGATCCAATTTGTTCTGCAAAAGAATGTTTAAGACATTTATTTTGCAACCTTTTCACTTTCCTGTAAGTTACATTTACTGTCTGCAAAGGGCCACTAAAGGTACATGACAGTTATAGCAGGAGACTAAACCTTAGAACATTTACTGCAAAGGATTAAGTATTATCAGCTTAAATAGAAACATTTCAGAAAGAAAAAAAAGCTTGAATAGAGTTCTCAATTTTAACAGATTTGACTGAGGAGTTGATGTGCTCACTCTGAAGAGTGGAATTGCATACAAATAAGAGAGAGTTCTTGACCTCTTATCTATGAACTGGTCTCATGAGTATTTGCCTTTGTGATTATTTAATTCCTGGAATTTTGCAGATTTGCCTGTTACCAGCAGTGCCAACTTTTTTGTCATTGCAGGGAAGACTGCTGTCAGAAAAGTTCAAAACATTTTTGTCTAAAGTCTAAACCTAAATATATTCCAATGGTAAAATTTGTTGTTCTGTTCCTGGGTATTTCATCCCTGTTACAATTCATTTGGTTCCCAATTTCTTAAATTACAATCATTATATAGGATTTAGACAAGAAAATGAGTGCTTTCTACTGTTGTTGCTCAAAACATAAGAACCTCTGGCATTTAGTTGTTTGCATAGCACACACATTTGCATAGCACCTAAGCAACTGAAAAATAGTAACATAATCAAACAAGTAGAGCAAGTCAACCCTACAAAGCTTTGTGCACATGCTCCATTTGACAAGCCAGGACTCAGTAGACATCTTCCCATTGTGTGAAGTTAAGCAAGTCAGTCAGACTTGGGAGGGCATTCGGAACAATTAAATATTGCATAATTCAGCACTTGGATAGGGACAGGCCTTGGGGCTTCCTCAGTTGGTAGCAAAGCTCCCAGTGACTTTGGGAGCTTGGCTGTTTGGCAAACAACAGAAAAAATCTGGGACAAGAGTTTCAGCCGCAGAGGTTACGTAGGAAAAAATAATGATGGAGCCAAGTGCTTGGAAAACTTTCAAAATAGAGAGCATGTAATCCCTTTTACTGGAAGCAATTTTATGAACCAACCACCAAGGCACAGTTCTACATATATTTAGAAGCTTTTGTTTCCAAACATAGATTTTAGAAAAACATTAAAAGTGAGAGGAAGGAAGAAATAGAAAATTATAGAAGTCTTTCCTACACTGAAACAACAGTTATCTTCACACCCCTTGGGTAATTGACTTTTCATACCTCAATCTTTTCAGGTCATTAACCCATCTGTCTCCCATCCTTTTTTTATAGTTGATTTCCTCTTCTTCTTCTACAATTTCACGAATCTTATGTTTTAAATATGGATCTTGCACTACCACAAAGGTCCAGGGCTCAGTGTGTGCTCCACTAGGTGAAGTACCTTCATACAAAAACAGGGAAAAATAAAAACCCAGGAAGGAGGGTGGGCAGTGAGAGGTATCAGCTCTTCCTTGTGAGCTTTTAGGCTGACCAGCTGAGCAATGGGAAAGCAAGTGGGTGAGATGGGAAGAAAAGGACTAAGTTCTGGCAGACAATCCTGTTCATTTCTTTCTCAAAGAATGTGAAATCCCATTGAAGAACAGAGGTGAGTCCTTTCATACTGCCATCTTACAGGAAGCCAGTGTTAAAGATTTGTAAAAAATTCCTTTTTTTGTTGGCAGTAATATGTTGCCATATATATGAATGCAGTAATGCTATTACAAAGTGTTGTACCAAAAGCAGAGCTCTGTCTGAATACACAGCCAACTCTGACACGTGGTTTTAGCTAAAGGGTGAAAACAATGGCTTTCAGGAAAACAAGGCTGAATGACTACCAGCAGGGACCTGTTGCTGACTGACAAAGACAAATAAGGAGCTGTACAACACAGACATCTGCTGTAGAGCATACAGGTTTGAGTATGTTGTCCCAAAGATAGCTGGTATTCATAGGTGTAGACATATATGTGATATATATTATATATATATATATATAATATATATATATTAAATCTGTATGTACTCACCTACCAACACCACTGGAGAAACATTTTAACTGCCTAGAGGTTAAAAGCCAGAAGCTGAAGAATTTATATCTGCACAGGTTCACAGATATATAGATTAAGACTGTTTAGATCTCTCTGGTCCCTCATACACTTTTAAAAATATTTTAAGAACTTGAATGCATACAATACTAAGGACTAGTTTTAGTTCAAGAAACATTGAATAAGCAGCTTGAACTCTCTTGATATAGGAAAATGTTTTTATATTGTGAACCTTGCCTCTCTTCAGGTTTGGGTAAAAACTGATGGCATTCATGCTTCCTTTTGTTTTCTTCTTCTCTACACAGCCCAAAGCTTTCAGGGTTACTAAGTACTTCATCTGCACGCCAGGCTTGTTTGCTTTGCTGCATTTGCCAAAACATGCTCAGTGTTTTAATGATGCCTAGTTAATTAGAGGGAGATGGAGACTCTTTACAGTGCAGTAACAAAGCTGCTTACAGTTCTTAAAGGGAAAATAACGCACTTCAAATGTGGAGATTCTTTACATTATTAACCCTGCTAAAGGCTGCTGAACTTTTCTCTAAGGCAGCTTGAGAATATTTTCTATAGTAGCAGCAGCTGGCTCATAGAATAAGAGAAATCATGAGGGTCAAAACCACTCCTGGCTGAAGTTGGTGTTAGTAAGGCAGAGATGAGATTAAGCCAGGACATGACAGTAATGAGTTGAAACACATAAATTCTCTAATAACCTCTATTAGGGTCCTCAGCATAACACTCCAATCATATGCAACAGGGATCTGGCACTACTGTTGGAAGGATTGGAAAAGGTTTTTTGTTCTAGACTGAAATTCTTTCCCTTTATTAAGCACCAACGATTTATGTCAAGAAATGTTCAATATGTATGAAATATTTTGCATGGCTGAGACAATTTAATCTCTTTGTTTATGGGGGGACCCCAAAATGCAAACCTCACACATGATAAATATAATAATGCATTAAATTTTAGAGCATGTGAAGTACATATGGCTTGACATTTTTGAGAAAACACTTCAATATTTCTATTTGAAAGATGTCTTGATAAACCACACATAAATTTAATTTTAAATAATATATTTTAAAAGTTGAAAATTAAGTTATTTGTTTCGTGCTGTTGAAATGCTCTTCTTCCCTGCTGGGTGAACTGCAAATACAGAGAAATTGGGAGTACTCCTAAACAGTCTCTGACAAACAGTTGTTCAAGCTGAGTAATTTTCAGTCAATCAATGGGTGCTCATTCATTCCAGCTACAGGTGAATCTAGGAATACCATAAGCAAAATTCCAGTTCCCTTGGCTTTTCCACACCACCTTTTCGCAGGTAGACAGTTGAACAGCAATGCTGATCCTTTTTCTTTCCCCCAGACCTTGAACCACTCAGTACCCACCTGCTGTTCTGATGACATTATCAATAACCTCCCTGGGGACTGGCTCATCACTGAGAAACCTGACAGATCGCCTCTTGTTTAGAAGCTCATAGAATGTCTGCGACCTCTTAATCATTTCAGCCTCAGAGTAGCGCTCGCCAGTGAAGGGGACGTGGGCAACGTTTTCTTCAAGTCCTTGCCACTCTTCCTCACCCTCTGCAAGAAAATACAAGTGGTTAGGGATTTCTTTTTTTTTTTTTTTTCTGGAGAATGCTGTTGATATCCTTGGCATTCACACTGTAAGGCACCTTGTCCTGCACTTCTACACCACTGGTAAGGCAAAGTCTGAGGCTCCAGTTGACACAACTCATTGATCCCCAGCTCCAGCTACTGAATAAACACCTTGTTTAAATACCAAGAGGCAGGAGGGTCCTGGCCTGCTCTAGCAGGTGATCCACAGAGAAGTCATTGCCTTCTCCACTTCAGCCTGCAAGCCTGCCTGCAAAAATGGGTTACAAGCTGAAACAGCATTGAAAAAGTGGACAGGCTTCCAGCCCAATTTTCTCAGCAAGTAAATGTGAACATGTGTGTTCCTTCTTGAGCTGTTTAATAAGGAAAAAATCAAATAAATTACTGAAGTTAAGGAGAGAGCTTAACTAGCAATATGTGTAAAATCTCCTCTGAGGAGCTGAATGTCAACTTCTTCCATATTCATGTTTCATAGCAGAAACTTTGCAAGCTTTGGCTCTGCAGAAATGTGACTTTGTGGTTAAGCTCTTTGGTTTCCCGATACTTTCAGCATAAGAGGAAATGGATGTTAGGCATCTATATTTAGGATAACAACATATCAAATGTAGGATATTGTGTTTCTTGGCTTTAATTAAAAACTCAAAATCATTCTCCATTTCACTGAAATCTGTCTGTTTATATCACAAAATGAATCTTCTGTTGTCTCTGAGGTCTCTTTCTCCCCCGTATTCCTAGAATTAGCATGGATAGCATTTTTTGCAGCTATGATCTGGAAGTTAAAGCCACTTAAATGCTGCATTTTGACTAGTCAATAGTATTGAGCAATCTGCTACAGAGAGCTGAGTCAGGAAAAAATATTCCAGTTCTTTTTCTGTTGCTATTAGGCTATTATTCCCAAATCATAGCAATCTCCAGCACAAATTCAAACAGCAATTACTTCTGTGTTTTAGTATTATGCAGTTGCCTTAGAGACTAGGCTGGTTTTTTGTTCATTTTAAAAGCAGCAAAATATTCACGTGTGGCTCAGGCTGTGCAAAGGGGCAAAATAAATCCAGTTTCATAAATTGAATGTAAACTGAATGGTTCTGGACCCCAAACCACACACATTTCATTTTGTGCACAAAGAATTCACCCTGAGAATTTGTTTTGTTCAGCATTTCATTCCTGTGTTAAGCACTCTTGGTCATAGTCTGCAAGGACCTGGCGCCAGGTTAATGGAAAGCAGTGAGCCCTGGTAAAAATTATTTTAGTGATCATCTTGTGCACGCTCAAAAAGTAAAAGGGTGCCTCTTGATAATGTTCCCTTTGTGATTTACACTTGGTAAAATAGTGAGTGCTTGCTTGTTTTGTGTTGTGGTGGGGGTTTCCCATGTAAGTAGAAGAGAAGTGAAGTTGCTGTTTGGTCAAGATAGTTCAACTTAATAATAAGGTGAAAAAAGAAATGTACTTTCAAAGATTTTGAACATGGGACAAAGGTGAGATAGCTAATGAGAATGGAAAACCTCAGTACACTCAACATGGGAATACTGACTGAAGCAGAAAAACCTAGAAGTGCCGGAACTGACACACAAAACCAAAACTCTCCTGGCAAATTATTTTTTTAAAAATAAATTAATCTATTATATATTCTCTTCCACCATGTGTCTACCATTCTTTCTTAGCAGTTAACATTATCCATATGCTAACTTTAAATCATTATCAGCACCATCTGTTTAGTGCATGCTCTCTATATCTCTAATTGCTGTGTTTAGACACACTCCTGTTTGTACAGTCACGTCATACAATACCACAAGTGTCTTGTTTATATCTCTTCGTATTCCACCACTTGATGGACAACAGACATCCTGCTAGCAAGTCTATTACCTTGTTAGCCACATTCTCACGATTGCCATCAATTCCATCAATTGCCATTTACAGTAGTCATCAAGCTTCCTGCTTTTTAAGTAAATCTGGAATGGTTTTGGCTCAGACATCCCAAATGGAATCTCATTTTAAAAGTACATTTTTCTATCTCTATCAAAAATTCCTCTCTGGATACATTTTAGGATGATAACTATGTTATTCCCAGCAGTCCATATGGGAGGTTATAATCAGCCTGCAAATCATGTAAAAAATTTTACCTCAGTTTGAAGCATGAGTTCTTAATTAAAAACTCATACTGAGAACAGTAAGTTGTCATTTCACTTCTGTTGGCCGCTTACTTTATGTAAACTGACACTTCTCTGTGTTGCTGACTTCCAGTTGTATGTCATTAAGATATTTCACTTTTACTCTCCTTGGTTTTATGCAAAGACCACTAGATAATATTAGCAATTGATCCTGAGACTGATCCTTGAGAAACTCCAGTCAAGACTACTGCATTTGCTTTCCAAACAAGTTTCTTCTCTAGAAAATTGCTTCCTGAGCATACAATTCCTCTCTAACTCTCTTTTCCAGTTTAAAGACATGATACATAGGAAAAAAAATTCAATGTATGTAAAGAAAGTTTTCACATCTTTAGTCTTAAATGCTGGGTAACTGACCCTGTGGGTTCTTTATCTGATTAATGGCAGACTGCTGCAAAATGGGCCACCACAGGAATCCCAGTAGTGAATCCAGCCCTGAAGTGAGTGTGACTAATAGGGAACTAAAAGAGATGGATTACCCTACTAGTGGGTTATAAATAGTGGTTAGCAGGCTGATCCTGGAAACCTCAAGAGTGGGTCAGGGATCTTAAGCAAAAGAAGCAAAAGGCACAGACCCTGGAAAAAATAACCCAGCATCAAAATATTGTGAAAATTATTTCAACTGGAATATAGTTGCAGAAGGTTTCTTACAATCTTAAGATAGAGTGGCTGTTATATAAAGAGAAAACCTAGTATAAAGAAAGCTGAGAGCTAATCTGGTTGCAATCCATAAACCACAGGAGAGGGGTTTATGCCAGGGCTGGAAGAGAATCCTTTGAAATCAAGAGGATGGAACAGATTGAATACGTAAACAGTAGTATTAAACAAGGCAGAAATTGGGCAGGCAGAAAGTGTCTGAAAGGTAGAGGAGGGGTTTTAACCTATACTAAGAAATTCTGGACTAGCTTTTCAGCAAGATTAAAGAAAAGGGGTCACAAAAGTCCAGTTTCCATGTTCATTCAGCTGATGACAAAGGCTAGATGTATTTGCAACAGCAGGAAGATACACACAGTGTCCAAGCCCTATGTTCCTAAATGATACAAAACATGAACTGTCATTGAAAAGGAACTTTAAATTGCCACTGCCTCATCCATGTCAGTAGTTGTATTATTAAGATATGGGGAGTCTTTGAAACTGGGGAGAGGAGAAGTGCTTTTAAGTGGGACAGGTCTATTACAAGGAGAATCACAAGCAACTAGCAGTGCATTTTCAGGATAAATGGAACGTTTGGGACTTTGTGTGTTGTTTTGTACTCCTTAAGTAGAGTGTATCATCAGTGTCCTTGCCAATCCACAGCACAGCAATCTCTCATTCTGGATCTTATAAATGAAGGAAAAAAGTTACAGGACAGATGGGCATGCAAACAAATCTGAAGTACTGCCAGTTAAAGCATTAAACAAATGGACTGAGTGCTTTGCACTTAAAAGAACTGGGTTTCTGGCTGCTACGAGAAACATCAATCTCTTCAGCTGTGGAAAGCACAACACAGACAAGCTCAGGAGCACTTGGCCCTCACCACTCTACACTTCACTGCCAATAAGTGGCCCTACTGAGTCTGCCCAAGCAGTTCAGCTACTTACACTGGATGCTCTGCTGCTCAAAGGCATGTCCTTCTCATGGGAAACATCCCCCAGGGCTCCACTGCAGGGAAGGCTCGTGGGGCTACAGGTGAGGTCGGTGTTTTTCTGTTTTCCTAGCTGTGTGCTTCACTCTCTCAGCAAATAGACCTTGCTTTGGTCAGGGACGTGAATCAAAAGACTTGGTCTTCAGCTGCCCCTTCCTGTTCAGGGGGCTGCTGAAAATTCAGCTTGTTCACATGGGGCAGCCCTAGATTCTAGCTTTAGACAAGGCCTTAAGAATGTCACCTTCATGTTACCTAACTCAGATTCTCTTCAGAGGAACTTCATCTTTAAACCAGCCAAAGACATTTAAGTAGACCTGAGCTTGTCTGATAAAGTAAGATACATTAATAACAGAATTTACACAGCAGGTAAAGTATTCTTTACTATTAAAAAAAATCTCTTTTTACATCCATGTTTCCGTTTCAGCATCTAGTGCAGTCAGTGAAAACTTTAACACTGACAACAAGGCTAACATGTTTTGATCCTTAATTAAGGCTCTAGCAAAGTAGCAGATCCTCACTAACACTTTTTCTTCTCCTTGCTACTCTTCTCATTTATGCTGGGCTGAAGACAAATTTCCCTATGAAAGATGAAATTATTTTAGTATTTCTAGAGATAAAGGACATGACTATTTTACAAAGAAATTGGTTTGAATCACATGCCACTAAGGGAAAGATCATTATTTGTTACTAAAATAAAAATAGCAAGAAAATTTAATATTGGATGACATAGTATATTGAGAAAGATCTTATTTAAAAGTAAATAAAACTTAGTAAGTGAATAAAACTTACCAACAGTACCAACATGTTTACCTGTCAAAAATTTTTTGAAAGCAATATTTTTTGCAACAAAAACTAGTACAATGTTGAATTTAGTACCTGAATAACAGGGAAAGCAACTAACAAATAAAATAATAAAATTTTATATATGGAGCTGTGGCAGTGAGGCTCCTTGCTAAAAGCTAATAGGTTTGTTTATGCAAAGGATCTAAATTTTTTAACTGATAGAAACAGCTATAGTCCAAGATTCATAGATTATCATTTGAACTACCCACAGGAATTCTAATTTGCAGCAATTTAACTGAAGTAGTAAGCCATTAGTGACAAAGAAATTATGGAATTATTCTATACAGAATCTATTTTGCATTGAACAAAGGAGGATACAACCGGTGAACTGATTTGTAAAGAAATTTTAAATATTTGGAATATAGTCAGCAGGGTTTAAATCTTTCTTGGTATCAACTCTTTTCAGAAACTGATAAACAACAATAGTTCAAAGTACACTGAACACTGAGAAAAGAGCTATAATAGTTCTTAGAAATAGGTCCATATGCAGAAGAACACTGTAAGTTTTAAGATTCCTAGAAGCAGACTGAGGGAAGTGTTATTATGGGGAAAAAATTAACCCAGACAGACCCCTCAAAAAGGCTTTGAAACAAGCTTGAGGGGAAAAAAAGGGGGAAACAAAGAAGCTGCATTAACCACAACTTTAAGAAATTGATAGGAACAGAACATGGTAGATTTTTATTTCATAAAGAAATAAAGTGAGTTTATGGAGGATAGTTAGGAAGGAAGAAAAAGGAAGGGTACATTTTTAGCTTAGACTTTTGTCCAAGCTGTGAATCAGAAAAAGCTAACGAAAATAAAGGACATACTGTATGGGTCCAAATATGCAGCTGAGTGACCAGATTATCACCACCAACACGTTTTGTTCTTAAATATTTGATCAACACAGCTCTCAACAAAGCTCTCATTGACATTCTCAGAAGCCACAAATGGAGGACCTTTGTAAAAACAGTAATAAACCAATTTCCAGCTTTTTAGCTGTGCTGAGACCAAGCACGTAGCACTGAGTGATAAAGTGGTTTGATTTGCAGGTAGAAACACTCTGCTCAGGTCTTCCCTTTGCTCACACTAATAAGGTCTGGGAAGAGACTGTGAGGAATTCAGCAGGATCTCCTCTCTTTCCTTACACTGTCCACAGAGTCCCTCCTAGGTCTGAGATCTGCTGTACAGAGGAACAGACAGGAGTCTCTGAGAATACATTTTATATATATATTTTTTTGCACTCTGATTTTTGGTGTCTGGAGGGAATAGAAATTGACACCAGGAGTGACATAACATGAGGACTGCCTCCTTCCTGGGAGTTGACAAGCTCAGGGCACAGCAGCAGCATTGCACTGAGCATTACTGTCATGTGGAGAAGTCCAGAAGATTGCACCTCCTTTATTCATATCAGCAGATAAAATTCAAACAACAAAAGTGTTTGGGGTAAGGTTTTTCTTACCTTCTTCTTCTAAGGGATGGTCAGTGCCATCTTTTAAATCTTCATCCACCCACGGGCGAGATGGATGCTTGCTTTTAGTGTCACGTTTTTCCTTCTCTCCATTCGTCTTCTTCATTATTACCCCAATCAAAACACATATAATGGCTATAAATAGTGGTGTGAGGGAAGAAAAGAGTGCCATGACTACAGAAATGTGGAGCCTTTCTTCCACATTCAGTAGTTTCTCATGAAAAGGAGAGGCTGAAGAGGGAAGAGCAGCAAAGCAGTAAGCAAAAAGGGGTGGACTCAATGTTTAGTCCTCCACCCTATCTTACTTCTACTTTTCAGACACCGCCCCCACAATCTCATCTGTGGTGGACTCCTGCTGTTAATAGATAGCTTCTGCAGTTTAAAAAAACCTCCAAAGCCAGGTTTACGTATTTTCTGAGAAGAAACATCTTACAAACAGCAAGCAGCGGCACTGACCATGCCCATAAATGCTGTCGAGGGCAAAATAAATTTAAAAACCCCAAGGTCTTTTCAAACTCCAGACTAAGGCAAAAGACTTCTCCCCTCTTATTTTTATTGTTACGGTCATCCCAGTAATCTTCCTTGTAACAGTGATTATGAGAAAAGCCAAGTGGGAATATGACTTTTAAAAACTAATGGCACCTCTTCAATGTTTAACTCACAAAATTAACATTTTACATGCATCCCAGGAATTCAGAATATCACCAATTGCAAATCAGTTTGCAGAACCACCCTCAGCTATGTCAACAGGTCAACAGAACAGATAAGTAAAGGGGCAGCATTGCCTCTGTATAAAGCATGAGTGAGACAATTCACAGAGCCCTGTATTCATCCTGGCTGTTCTGGGGGAACTGACAGGAAGAATTCAAGGAATCAAAGTAAAAAATATGTGAGGGCTGCAGTGAATTTAAAAGGCATGTTTCAGCATGTTATGGAAGATTAAAAACCAATAGGATCCTGGTATAATCCAATAATGGTCAATGTCTAAATGCTTAACCCATTTTTACCTCAGCCAGCTGCTTGGGAACTGAACCAACACAGCAACACCAATTTGCTGTCTTTGTCTGGGGCTGTTGGGACATACTGGATAATGAAATGTCAGATGGCAGTGAGTGCCAAGGGCTGTGCTGGAGAGCAGGGTGCAGGATGGCTCTCTGCATGCAGTCACCAGTGTACATCAGCTCTTCTTAGCACCTGCTAAGCACCGTCCTGGCCAAGCCTTGTCTCGTGCCATACAGGGCCATTTCTGACGTCCCAGCATCCGTGGCAAGATAATCACATGTTGAATAAGCCCCCACAAGATAAGTGGGAGCAGTTGTGAGTGTAGCCACACCAGGAGATGGTGAGTCCCAGCTGGCACCGGCAGGGGGTCATTGCAGTCCCCTTTCCTCAACACGAAAACCAGGACACAAAGGGGAGAGAGAATGTGGGCTATGCACAGGTCCCATCCTGACAGGCTCTTACCCTAGCATTCATCCCTCTCGCCTCACCAGTTTTGCAGCACTGGGCACACCCTCACTGGTCACATTTGACACTGTCACTCCAAGGGCTCCCTACCTTCCAATGCTCCAACAGATACTGCCAGTTGCTTTGAGGATTGGTCTGTGTGTTGGGAAGGACAGATTAGTGACCAGGTTGCTGCACAAAAAGGGGAATGTGTGACCACACTGGTTGGCCACACACAACGGTAGTCTGGCTGACAGTCCAGACCTGTATCCTCTTTTAATTCAAGCTTCTTGGTTAAAAGGGCACGGTCAAGCAAATTGCATAGCTGTGCACATATTGTCCAGACATGCTTAGAGGCAAAATGAAACTGCCTCAAAGGTTGTACCCAGGTTGGGCTTTCTCAGCTGCCCAGCCCTGATACAGAATAAATACTTCTCTGCTGTCACACTGCATCCTACCGCAACAAAAACCCCCAGTTCCTGTAGGTACCGGTCCTTACAGGCAGTATTTGGGATCTGTGTAAGAAGGGTGGCCCCAGCACTAGCCAAGGAACTGCACAAATCCATCAGAGATTTAATAAAGAGGACATGAGAAAGTTGTATTTAGGTTCCTAATTTAATCTAATTCAGTAAAGTTGGCAATATACTTCCATCTACCTCTGGCTAAGAGGACAATTTTCTTGAAAATCCAAGCCATGAATCTTGTCTTTCCTACTCTCTTGTCAATTTGTGACCTGAGACATGTGCTTGGATCTTTGATTTGGGCTGCATGTATAAAAAGCCCCAAAACCAGTACTCTCTATAGGTATGGAAACAATTATCATAAGGGGAAAAAAGAAAATATGTAACTTTATCCTCTCTCTCCTTGATTTAGAGTAGATATTTAAACTCATTTGTCCCACCTGCTGGCTGTCCAGTCATGGGGAGGGGTACTTTACCTAATCCCAATTAGAAACATTAAATTAATTCATGATAATAGAGGAGGAACCTGAAATTTCATCAGATACATTTTCAACAGACTACTCTGTGACAAGGGAGGAAAACAGAATGTGGTCTGAATGGCACTGACTGTTTCTCCCACAGGGAATGTATTAACCTTGATTATTCACATACACATAAATTAGCATCTGGATGCTCTGCAGCTGAGACTCCATCCTATGAAGAGACAGGTCTGTGCTGAGAGAGAAGCAATACAGAAGGGTGAATTATATTGTTTAAAATAACTACCTCTATTTGCAATGCTGGAAACTTTGTAATAGCTCACTGTTCCAGAATAACTTCAATTTCCTTAGAGGCGATATTAATTTTTCTTCTGTAGAACAGAAAGGAAAGGGAAGGAAAGGGAAGGAAAGGGAAGGAAAGGGAAGGAAAGGGAAGGAAAGGGAAGGAAAGGGAAGGAAGTTAAATAAAAGTCACTTTGGTATTAACTTAAGCAGAATCTATTGAAAATTGAAACATATTGAAAATTGTTAGGTTGCACTTCAAGCCCACAGAAACCCCAGCCTACCTCATTTAATTAAAACCTGAATTAGTTTAAATAACTCTATATTGTAGACACTTAAAAGAGAAACATGGCGATGTCATGAGGAACTGTGGGAAAGGGTGGGGGGAAGCAGTTAATTTTTGTACAGTAGCTTTCAATCAGTTTTTCTGTTAATTTTTTTTCAATCCAAGCTTTATAGAAATGTGATGAATATTGTGGCAAATTCAAGAAAATTTATAACAATTTACAGTAAACAGTAACAGCTCTACAGTAAACCCTAAAAACTAGCAGCTGAATTTTTAGGGTTTTTTGAGTCTCAAAAAAGTCAGGAGAAACTTTACAAATAATCCTACTCCTAGAAATTAATGGAGCTTTTCTGACAAACATGGAAAGAAGTTAGAAAATGTTGATAGAAATACAACAATTGTGAACAGCAAAGTACTTGATTATTATCACAAGAAAACATGTAAGCACTCCTAAAAAGTAGACCTAAAAAGACCATCATGCTAAAAGCTTCTGGTCCCAAAATACTTTCATATTTCCCATTAAATTCTGTGGATAGCTGTTGTCCTTCTGAAGGAAAAAGAAAAAAGTACTCTAGTACCAAATATAGCCCTTTATTTTTTTTCCTCAAAAAGTTGTGATGAGCAAATGCCAGTAGTGGGTGGACCCATGGTGGGATTACACAAGGATCACCCATGGGCACGAAACTGTCACGTGGTGGGCACATGCACCATTGTAGGCTGCAAGGACACTTGAAGGCAACAAATGACACCTGCTCATCACACATTTTTACTTTGAGAAGTCTCTTTATTGGAGAACTCCTAGGGCTCCTTATTTGCTATAGAAAATTAGTAAGATCTAGACATTCAAAAAGGGATCCAACACATCTATTAGAATTGTTTAAATATCAAAGGCAAACTATGGTAGTTAAAGCACCTAATTTAGAAAATCTCTGAGACTTAGGAAGGCAGGACCATTTCATGCCATCCTTAGCCTTCTTGTTTTTCCCAATCATCTACCTTTGGCCACAGGCTATAGAACTTGATGTCCTCACATGGCTAGGATTTGGTATGAGAAGTTGTTGTGGTGGAGGAATAGAATTACATAATTTAGTGCTCCCACTAAAATGAAAACCAGGACCAACTCCCCTCCTCCCCGTGCCTTCAGTGAGACAGACAAGGGCAGGTATCCTTAGCTGAGATAATAAAAATTTACTGGAAACTGAGATAGAAAATGATGTTTCCTTCTTGCCTGTTGGTGGGATCACAGTTGATGTTTTGCTGGTTTTTGACCATGTCCATGAGAATGTGACGATGTTCTTCTTGCCATTTTACTCCAAAAACCTGAATTTCCTGGGCAGGTCCTTTAACCTTACTTTGTTTTAAGGCAGAACCAGCCTTCAGGAGGATCGGGTTATCTTCTCCCTTTTCTCAAAAACTTCCTCTGCCATGTTGCTTCATACAATGGTGTCATCAAAGAACTGCAGGTGTTCTGGAGCATCACTGTTTTCCAGTGCAGTTGGATCAGTCCATGGCAGGTGGTAGGACTGTGCTTCCACCCCTGGGGGAGTCAATTCCAGGTGTACTGCACTCCCATCCAGGTGAAATCAAACTGAGACCTGCATTCTGCTGCCAGAGGAGTGGAGAAAAACACATTGGCAGTGTCAACAAGCCACATCATCCCCCTTGGAAGGGAGAATCCCTTATTTCTTCTTCGCCCTGATGAAGTGCATGGTATAGAGTAACAACCTAGGCACACCCACACAGCTCCAGGCTCTGCCATCTCGTGGCTACAGCTAAAAATTAAATGTCTTTGGCTGAAACTAGGACAGAAGTCTTACTGTAGTAAAAAGCAGATATGTGTTAAAGAGAACAGTAGTAGAAATAGAAGAATGTTTACAGTGAACATACAGAAGTGCAGAGTAAGATGAAGGAGGTACTTGCAATAAATACAGCATAAGCCTGTGAGAGAAAACATGGTTTTGGGTGCTGGCTATAATTCCCATTGCAAGTATCCTTTGCTGACAGTTATCAGTTACATACCTACAAGGAACACAAAGCCCCTGTTTGGACCCTCAGGTGATATAGCAGTATGGGGTGATGAAACGGTCCACAAAAGAATCTGTGTTTATAGCTAGGAAGCAAGAAAAAAATCACCACTGAGTATCGTCTAGAGATGCATTAAAATACTACATTTGCTTCAGAAGTGAGTTTCACACGAAGCTTATGTTTACCAAAAAAAAAAAAAAATCCAAAAGCTATTTCAATGCCATCCTTGGTCAGCTCCCAAGTCAGTATGTGCCTGCTGTGGACAAGGCAGAACCATGCATGAGCTACTTCATCCAATTTC